GACAATTCTTGGGAGTGATGGAAAAGAGTATACCTTCTTGCTGAAGGGGCATGAAGATTTACGACAAGATGAACGTGTCATGCAGGTTATATTTCATATCTTACTGTACCCTTGTTCTGTTTGGATGGTGGTGCAGTTCTGTTATAACATTATGCAAACAAATGCTTGTGCGCTCTTGGCTCAGAACTATGAAAATGATTTCATTTTCTTTCAGAACTATGTGTTTGTGTTTTAAATGATATTTCGAATTTGAGTTTTGCATTTCATATTTATGGTCAATTTGATTGATTCGTATTTTTAAATTTTATTTTTATCGTACTGTATAGTTTTCTTCAATGTTGCATATTAAATACGCATTTAATATGATATACGGAGACAGAAGATCTAGACGAACAAAGAAGTTATTCTCACTTTGTTCATCAAAATAAAAGTATTTTGAGAAAAATGAATAGAACAGATTGTTGCGGCCTCCTCGTCGTCAAATCTGAACCACTTCCTCCTCTTTGGCGAAAATTTCAAATTTGGTTAATCGGTGTCCCTGCAAACTTACAAGAAAATAAGTAATTTTTTAAAATAAAATGTTGAATAGATTGAATTGAATTTTTATTGTATATGCAAAATCTATTCCTATTGTTAATGTAATTGAAATTATTAAATAAATTATTTCATTAGGGGCGGATCTAGCACCTGACCAGCCCCCGCGGCCGCCCGTGCTGGGTCCGCCGAAAGCTGCAAGTTCTCGCCGGTGAGCTGTCGTTCGCCGAGAAAGAAGAACTGAAGAAGGAGCTACGGCTAGCAAAACTTTTTCCCCCCATGTTTTAATTTTTTTGGGCCTTATTTAAAAAAAGGTCCAATAAATTTAACCCAATTCAATTACCAATTTCCCATTCCCATTGTTTGTCCGGCTGAGAGAGGGAGAGACTGGAGAGTAGACGACGATTAGGGCGAAATCGAAGGTTGACGATTACCCGTTGACTATGACTGTGGTCGGTGGACGGTGCGTGGTCAGAGGTTGATGGACTGCAGTGCCGACTGCTGGAGCTTCGAAAATCGAAATCAAAGGTAAGAATCTTTTACGATTTTAACTACCTATTTACCTCAAAAATCGTGGATTGTTTACAAATTATTTTAAGAATCTTTTTTCTGAGGAATAGGAATGGAGGAAAGACTTGCTTATGTAATTGTGTTTACTTTTATGGCATTTTCATCTTTTTCTTTGTAGGAGCCCGAGCTTAGGAGGCAGTTAGCACTTAGCAATCGTATGTAGTTATGTTATCTTGGACTTTGTTTACTTTCTGGCAGTATGTTAAGAACTAAAATGCACAGTATGTTACTTTCTAGAAGTATGTTACTTTCTGGCTAGATGG